TTCTCATAAGCACACTGAGGGCAACCCTTGCTTCTCCTTTCATAAGTGGGAAAAGGCCCTGCTGATTTCCATACTCCTTAATCCTAGGTCACCTGCAGAGCAGTAAATCATGGTGGGTGTGCTTTTATGGGAAGTCTAGGCCATCAATTGAATAAATATTCAATTCTTCCTTCAATATTATTCTTCTCTTCCTTCACACTTTATCCTCAGGTTCCCTGCCAACAATTGAGATTTCTATAATCTCCAATGAAATTAAACTTTCATTTCACTACCAGAGATAAAGTGAAAAATGTGCTTCATTTGCTTGAGGTAACAACCCAGTTGAAATGCAGTCAGTCAGCAAGTATAAAGGAAAGCTGGCCAGATCCTTTAGTGTTGCTAGGTGGGAAAGGTTGAAGAGAGTCACAGGGCAGGAGCAGCAAACTCAGATGACCACAAATAGCTTATAGATAGCATTAAGTACAAGACGTAAAGAAAAAGTAGAGGCCGAGTGCAGTGGCTCATGCCTGTAATCCCAGCACTTCATTCAGGAGGCTGAGGTGGAAGGATTATTTCAGTCCTGGAGTTTGAGATCAGGCTGGGCAACATGGCAAAACCTTGTCTCTACAAAAGACAGAAAGAAAAGAAAAGAAAAAAACCAGGTGCGGGGGTATGTGTGTAATCCTAGCTGCCCAGGAGGCTGAGGTGGGAGGAGTGGTTGAGCCTGGGAGGTCGAGGCTGTAGTGAGCTGTGATCAGGCCACTCTGCACTTCCGCCTGGGCAACAGAGAAGGACCCAGTCTCAGACAAACAAGCAAACAAAAAACCAAAAGAAAAAGTAGATGCATGGGGGAAGGACGGGGGGTGGGGAGTTGGGGAGAGATAGCATGGGGAGAAATGCCAGATATAGGTGAAGGGGAGGAGGGCAGCAAATCACACTGCCATGTGTGTACCTATGCAACAATCTTGCATGTTCTTCACATGTACCCCAAAACCTAAAATGCAATAAAAAAATAAAATAAAGAAAAAGTAGATGCAAAAGGAACAGCCAGTGCTCACTTACAGGTGATTTTTGTCCCCTGTGAAAGTGGACCCAGTGTTGCCTGAATTTTTGATTTTTTTAAAAAAGAAGAATTTTTAAAATGTTTGTGAAATCATCAGATTTCTACATATTGTCAATCCATTCCAAAAGTTTTATAATGTGTTACAGGCCAAAGGAAGCACATCCAGTCAGTGGGTACCACTTGTGATCTCTGCTGTAAAGCATTTGATGTCTGAATTGGTGGAAGGGACACGGGAGCGCACACCTATCTGGGGAGTCCACTAGAATACAGAATACAAACACAGGGGCACATGTCTTTGAGCAGGTAGCTGATAGCCAGGGGCTGTCAAGTTATTATGTGTCCCAGGCCAAGTAATAACTTCTTGGACTTCTGAAAAGTATATTTCATTTCCATGCCATCGTGTTTTTAACACGCTATTTACAGTGCTCAGTTATCATTTACCCAAAAGTGCAATTTTTCTCTCATGAAGCACTCATAATCTTATGTAGTTAATATGTAACCCAGAAATTTCTACTTGATTAGAAGACAGTTATTGATAGTATGCCATGGATAGATTTGTTAATTCCTTGTTATAGTTATTCAAATACATATTCATGGTAGAGTAATTAGCACTTTCTAGTTATTGTAAATAATGGACATTAGGCCAGGTGCGGTGGCTCATGCCTGTAATCCCAGCCTTTTGGGAGGCCGAGGTGGGCAGATCACAAAGTTAGGCTAACACAGTGAAACTCTGTCTCTACTAAAAAATACGAAAAATCAGCCAGGCATGGTGGCATGCACCTGTAGTCCCAGCTACTCGGGAGGCTGAAGCAGGAGAGTCACTTGAACCCGGGAGACGGAGATTGCAGTGAGCCGAGATCGCACCACTGCATTCTAGCCTGGGCGACAGAGCGAGACTCCATCTCAAAAAAAA